TATATATATATATATATATAGACAGATAGATAGATTTTTTACTTGTACATGCATTTGTGCCTCTTAAATTTTTATTTTGAACTATTTTCATATTCTTTTTTACATTATTTAAGTCTTTTATGTTGATGTGTTGCTTTTACATTTTCCTTTCTCCTGTTTTCACTTTATCTTATGCATTTCTGCCTCATTATGCAAATAAGGCGGGTGGTCCCTCCTGGGTTACTTCCTCTCCTATTGGTCTTGCACAGATAAGTGTTTTTCTCCTTGCCTTTGTTTTAAACTAAACTTTAAACTTTGAGTTTAACTGTGGCAGTATAAGCATGTACAGTAGATCTGCACATGGATACTGCTCCTTCCTGTCTGTTAACCAATAAGAGAGGAGCTGACCCAGGAAGGACTGCCCGCCTTATTTGCATAATGAGGCATAAATACATAAGGTAAGAGAGAGACATAAATGCATGTACAAGTGAAAGAAATAAATGCATGTATAAGTAAAAGAAATAAATGCATGTATAAGTAAAAAGAAAAACAAACAGTAAAATGTAAATTATGTGCTAAAATATATAATTTATTAGAACTAACCTGGAAAAATAAAGTTAAATAAATTATAAAAAGGTAAAGTTCTCATTTTTTATTTAATTGGTGCATTAGAAGTGTATTTATGTATTTATTGGTCCATTTGTATATTTATGCTTTTATTTTAATTGTGACAGTTTCAGTCCTCCATACAAACAGAGCATCACAACATGGAGAAAGGGGGATTTAAGTGGCTTTGAACATGTTGTGGTTGTTTGTGTGAATATTTCAGAAAGTTGTGATTTTCACACACAACTATTTCAGATAGAATGAAAAACAGAAAAWTTTCTAGTGAGCGGCAGTTGTGTGGACAGAAATGCCTTCTTGGTGTCAGAGGTCAGAGGAGAGCAGGCAGACTGGCTGGAGGTGATGGAAAATAGTTTAAATAACCTTTGCTACAAACAAGGTATGCTCATCTCTGAATGCAGAACAACCATGAAGCAGATGTCTCCCCACAGGAGAAGACCACACTGTGTTCATTCCTGGCAACAAAAAACTAAGAAACTGAGGCTACAAATCATGCAGGCTCACCCAACCTGGACCAAACTCACTGAACTCAGTCACCTGATGGAACGACTGATTCACACCATGAACTGATAAATCTGCAGCAGCCGCAAGACACCATTATGTCAATATGAACTAAAATCTCTGAGAAGTGTTCCCAACACTTTGTTGAAGTTTTGTCACAAAGAATTATCAAAGCAAAACAGGTCCATAAGGTGTACCTAAAATACAGCCGGTGAGAGTATATCTGAACTCAGCTGATGTTTCTTTGAATTGGAAGTTGCAAAGTTGCAAGTGTTACAAAGCATATTCACAATATCAGTGAAAATGATGCACAATCAAACCTCTGATGCTGATTTTTGCTTAGCTTGTGCATTTTTTTTATTTTTTATTTTTACCATCTGAGTTTTGGCGCGAGGTGCTGCCCCGGACTTTGAGGGAGTGCTTCTGCCCTCGGTTCTTCTCGTTGAAGCTCCCGCTCTTGGAGACCTTGCTGGGAMTCGCGTCGGCCCCATCCTCCGCCCCCGGAGAGAGAGCCTTCCCCTTAACCATGGGAGTTTTGGAAGGACTGGGAAACACCTTGTCCTTCATRCTGGCCTTCCGACTACACAGAACGAGCGAAAAAGGAGAAAGGTTTCATGCATGGGGCTTTATTATTTTWGCACAGTTTTCATTTTAAATTCTGATAATGTGAAACTGAATGTGTTCAATGTGCATGACTTTCCCAAAAATGCAGAGGTCAGCTCTGATGTGACTATTTTTCTTACCTCAGAAGAAATTTTTAAAAGTCCTACAGCGGGAGGAGCCATGTCCACAAACGAGCATGGTGGAGCATTCAGTGGKTCAGACAAGCAGCAGGAAGCTACAAGCAGGCATGCATGAGAAGCAAAGTGGCACTGCGCATCTCAAAAAGGAAGAGTTGTGGTCTCACACTATGCAAAAAAAATGGACAAAAAGGTGAAGAAAAATCATGCAAAAACCATAAAATCCCCCCTCACAGTGTTTGCTCTGACAGATACTCAGGAAATAATTACTCAGCGTTATGCACCTTTCCTGCTGAACAGAAGTTTACATGAGCTGAATCTGCAAAAAAGGCAGCAAGCAAATTAACTGCATAAAGACGTTACTAAACAGAAATCATAAATCAATGGTGGCAGGGACGGAAACAAAGACGTGAATTTGCATCTTCCCTGAAAAATAAAAAAAAGTATGTTGATTTTATTTCAGACTGCTAACAAAACTTCACCTCATTTTATTTATAACCTTTTGTCTTTTGTCTGTGCAGCTTTGTTAAAACTTGTATAATGTAATTAGTGAATGTATCTACAGCTGATTAACTGAACAACCCTCTGRGGTCCAAGCCCACTCCAGAGCGGKAAYTGACATGACACATTTAAGGGYTAATGCGACAAAAATGGCAGCAGGCTGAGTGCTCGTTTCAGCTGGGTTGGACAGCAGAGACCTCATACTCTTTTAAAATAGTGGGTTTAACTTGTTTTTATTTTATTTAATTCCAAATAAAACCAGATTTATGATCAATCATTTTTGCCATAATTTTGATCATTTTTTATGCATTTGCTGCGCATTCAGTGAACGTTTTGTGCCCAGGAAGTGCTTGAATTTAACATGACATCCATTTTTCTGATTTCCTGAAATGCACCACATTTCCAAAGCAACCAATAAAAAAAGTTTGTCCGTACACTTGTAAGAGAACATGAGTGTGTTTTGGAGACGGGATAACGGAACAGTCAACATTATGGYTGTGCTRAAAATAATGATACCAAACAAGGCAAGGTGAATAGTTTTTAAGATGAAAATATACAGGTAAATTCAAAATGAGCCAAAATGGACATTTAGACCCCAGACCTTAGAGGGCTACAGATGGCTGCTACTGCAGCTAACCCACTTTAGCTTTTAACCTAAAAACAGCTAAAACTCAGTCAGTTTTATAGATATTAACAGTGTGGTTGTAGCTGAGGGGGAGCCCCCAACATATATTCTGCCATAACTTATTTACAGTTCTGTCTTTTAGCAAAATATCTTTCAAATGACTGAATGGGTTCTAATGAAACCTTGGGGAAATATAAAATAGCATAATGTGTATCTATATGAATTGTTGTTTGAGAAGGATTTGATGTTGTTTTTTGTTTAGTTTTATTTTTTTGTAAATTACTATTGTTTCATTTTATTCTTGGGATTTTATAC